GTTAAGGTTTATTTTCGGCCTCGGTAATTTGGGGCCATTATTCGGAGGATAGCCAAAATCTCTCCAGCAGATAGATCCTGACGGTAATTATGTTTTTATGTTAGAAGGCATAAGCAGAACTCCTCAACTCTGTGTGTCAGCGTAACTATGGGGAGGCTGTTAAGGTTTGGGCAAAGTGAGCCTTTTCCAGTTCGGTCTAAAACACTACAAGTTACTCACGACGCTGTAAACAATTATTGTTCATATCGAGTAAACTACAGTTGGAAATGACAGCAAAAGTGATGAGTCATAGTCAAGTTGATAAACCCACACACCGGTATGAATCATGTGTCTATTTATAGAAGCAGAAAGCTCTAAGGGCACACGCTATATTGAAGCAAATTGAAGAAGTCACAGACAAAAAAATCAGGAATCATAAATGGATCGACACATCGCTAGTCTTTAGGTCGGACATTTATTACATAAACAGTACGTGAGTATTTATTCCATCTTTCTTATTGCCTTCTATTTGTCGTATTCGTGAAAATGTTAACTTTTTTCTGATACGTCGTTAGTGTTGAAAGTGAAAACTTGCTAAATTTCTGTATTCGCTGGTTTCACATTGACGTTTACCTTAGATTTCGAAATTTTGCACTAAGAGATGTGTGAGGCAAGGGTATGCGAAATTTTTAAATCTCATTTTAACCTAAATAATGTCTCATGCAACACTTATGGCTTATATTGGAATATATATAATATCCGTCCTACTTTCATTGTAAACTCTTGATACTATGTGTGTGTGTGTGTGTATGCGCGCGCGCGCGCGAAAACTCCTAGTGTCGCTTATGATAAAGAATATAGAGAGAATATAAATAGCTAAATCATTATACAATATCTACCTCTTCTTGTTAGCACTCACTGGCTGTACACTCATGAGGAAAGTTCTGGTTGTTCGTCTACTTTTGAACTTTGATCTTGTTGCGTGTATATCCGTTTTACCGAAATGTTTTATGTGTATGCAGAATGTTAGTTCCTCATCTCTCAAGCAGAAAGCTGCCTTTCACGGCATGATTGTTAGGGGCGCAGTGGTTTATTCTCTCCCCCCCCCCCCCCCCCCCCCCCCCAACTCTGCATTGATTGATGGTGTCATAAATTTCTACAGTAGAGAAACAATGAGACGGTTTACATTGAAACGTGAAAGATGTGGTTATTTCTATGAATATGAGGCACACAAGCAGGAAATTGGTGCACAGAAATATTACAGTCACTCGAACTGAGAAAACCAAAGCTGATTTTCATTCAGAAGGCCAGCTAGGACACCGGAGGGATTTGGAATGGGAACTTGCTTGTTAAAGTATGTGCTGCAAAAGGCAAAGGAAAAAAGGTTTATGAAGAAGGCAGGAGTACATGTAAGTCAGCAACATCAAGTGGCTAACTTCACAGATCTCAGATTATTGATTGTTCCGTAATTATCAGTGACACGACTGGTTTGTTCTGTGAGTTTTTAATCTGTCTTCATTGTATCAGTGACTGCAAACAAGAGGTGTTGTTAAGTGTTCATTCTTTCTCTGAGCATCTTGTGCACGCTAGTTCCGTCAGATTTCTATAGTTAACATGATTTATTATGATTAATGTTATGGTTGTTGTGTCCATTAAAAACATTATTTAAAAAATCAACCTTATTTTCTTCTTCTTCTTCTTCTTCTTCTTCTTCTTCTTCTTCTTCTTCTTCTTCTTCTTCTTCTTCTTCTTCTTCTTCTTCTTCTTCTTCTTCTTCTTCTTCTTCTTCTTCTTCGTGTTCACCAGCTGTACACTCTGGCTGCTCGTCCATTACTGAACTGCAGTCCTGCTCCAGAACCTGAGTGTTGCGTGTGCATCAGTTTTACAGATCTCATTCTCTTGAATACAGACTGTTGGTTCCTTGCCTCTCCGGCAGATGCACTCCGACTTCAAAGGAAGCTCCCCAATTAGTCGACTCTTTCGACATGCTTTTGGGGAGGCAGTGGGTCTATTCTTGTTTTTCCCACAATGGGACCCCGGAACCCACACGGGGAACCTTATTTTCATTCCCGTTGACCTCAGCGTGACCAGAAAGAAACCTAGCCCTCTATAGTCTGTTCCATAAGTTTTGCCTCGCTTAAAAACAAATCTGAAACTCAGTAACCGGTGCAAGTGGTTGAAGTTTGACATGCAGCCTATAAATAATCATGCCCTTGTATATGAACAAACGGACACCTGTTCGAAGCTAACCAATCCGCATGCTTACAGTTCATTGAGTAAACGGAACTTGTTCAGACTGCAGGCGTTTCATAGGAGTTTGACTCTCAGGTGTTCATCTCAAGCATTAGCCTCCCTCGAGTTATACGAGCACATGTATTCATTGTATGCGGAATAGGCTAGCAAAATAATCACCATGCATTGCTGCTCATGGGAACTGATTTCCAAACAAACAAACGTGTGTGTCATTTACAGCATAATCTTTGTTTTAGGGTTACATAACTCGTTAGTCAAAACGGATCAAAGAAATTCGCCTCTTTACGAAAACAGTATTACATGTGTAATTATTACTAATTAAACATTATAATATCCTTAGGTTGGGTGACCATAAGTCCTGTTTTCGCCGAGACGGTATTGTGTTTTTTTTTTTTTTTTTTAGTTAGGCCAGGACGTCCTGTCGATCACAACTTCGAGTAAAACAATTGATCTCGGAAGGTGGGAGAGAGAAGAGGGGGATGAAGGGGGCTATTGACGGGACTTTTTGGGGTCCGCCTAAAACGATACTGTGACAACAATATGGTCACTCGTTCACGAAGTTAAGGGAAATCTAATATCACTTGCAAAAATTCGAATTTATTTGTACTGGTGTTTTTTGTGTGTGTGGATGAAATATGTGATAAAGTGTAAGACGCGACTTTTGAGACATACTATGTTAGTAACCGTTGCTTTATATCTATATATAAACAGAAACCAGTGCGTTGTATCCGGGTCGTGTCTTTTGAAGCCTGTTTAATCAACCACTCAACATGCAGACATGTGTATCGTCGTGCGTGTTCGACCCAGTGCCGTGCATTTATAACACGGATTGTGTGGACCTGTTTAGGGCCAGGTATCTCAGTATTGGCTATGATGGAAGACATTGGCAACACCTTGCAATAAATCCACGGAGAAGCAGGAGATTAAAATCATGTGATCATTTTGCTAGAATGCAGCCACAATAGCTACCAACATAAGCGTTACACTAAAAAAATATATGATGTGAACAACAGAAGTTGCAATGATGTCCATTAAAGGCAATAAATGCATTGTTCATCCTCAGGGAGCGGCAAAAGTCAATGCCATCCATCGATAGGTAGACCATCAACTGTTCTCATCTTGTCAATTGGCGGCAAAAGTGAAATTAATTGATGTTGCTGATAATGATGTTGAAGGAGACAACACGGGGACACATTTCATATTCAGCTTCTGATTCTCACTGCAGTCTTGGTCATAACACTCGGAGTCTGACATCTGGTATTTCAATAAAGTTGGATATACAGAAGATTAGGTTGTATTTCATGGAAACAATAGCTATCAAATACAGAGGTACTGAGGAATTTGGGAATGAAAAGAGAGTTGCCAGGTGAAATAAAAAAGAGACAAGTGAAATATTTTGGCCACATTAAAAGACATAACAATGTTGTAAAGATCATCCTAGAGGGAAAGGTTCAAGGTAGGCGAGCAAAATGCAGACAGCGTTACAAGTGGGAGGATAACATCAAAAGATGGACGAACAGCAGTATGACTGAGTGTACATCAAGGGCAAGAGACAGGGCTTGTTGGAGATCCATTGCAGCCATTGTGGAGACGGCACCTGATTGATTGATTGATTTCAGTAAAGTAAATATCGCTGATTTACTTACCTCATTTGATGTTCTTCTACTGATTAAGTTTCCCGCTGAAATCTTTTAATTTCCTCTGCTTATCATACGTGGGTGTGTGTGCTCGGGCGCCCGTGCGTGTGTGCAAGAACACTTGAGCGGTAATAATTTTTAAAGTTCTGCTGCTGCGGTTCCGTCCCTTTTTGTGTTCCTATGCTAGAGCGCATACAGAGACCACATTACAAACGAAGAGGTTCGCCATACAATTATACAGCCCAATGGCAACAATGAACCTCTTTTAACTACAGTGAAAAGGCGAAAAATGCAATGGTATGGACATGTAATGAGATCTAATGGCCTCTCAAAAACAATACTTCAAGGCTCAGTAGAGGGAAAGAGGAGAAGAGGCAGACCAAGAAAGACCTGGCTACAGAACTTGACTGACTGGACAGGTCTCAGGCATACAACCATGAAGTCCATCGCAACTGGCCGCCAAAGGTGGACAGAGCTGATCAGACAGTCAACAGAAACTGGTGTTCCAACGACACGTAGTGTTACGGCATGATAATGATGAGGCTAGAGCACACATTAGCAGTTTCGACTGTCCACCCCCCATCATTTTTCTGAAGCCGATACTGATATTTTGTGTCGGCTGTTTAGACGTCACTCCTACATTTCCACCTGTCTGTTCTGCCTCCCTTGCCGACAGGTGGACCATCAACTGTTTTCATCATGTCGATTGTTGGCAAAAGTTAAATTTACCAGTATTAACATATTTCATACGAACCGATCTGTCTGTTACCTAGTGTACACAGGGTGAACATGGTCGGCTGTCGTCTCTGAGTTAATTTTATTATATACTTGAAATTTTATAAATACATTTAAAAAGAATTTCTATACATGGCTAAAGGGAGCCTCTGCGTCCCCTTACAGAATTAGGACGCAGGGGTGTTTAGCGCCTTTTACAATTCGGAGGGAGCAATGTGGCCTCAGATCCCAGGTTATGACACCAATGATCCTCCCACTTGTACCGCTGCTTACGCGTTTGCCTACTTGCCATCCACTGATGTCCCTCTGTATTCTGTGAACCCCAGGGTCATGACCCGGCAGTGATCGTGACGTCACAGGGCAGTCCAGAAGAAGTGAAGAAGCAGACGAGAGAAGATGGCGTCGTTCGTGGCGGTCCCACTGAAGAAGACCTACGAGGTGGACTTAACCAAACCGCTGAGAACTTTCATACACAACACTTTCACACAGGCCAATGTGGAAGATTATAACACGGCCTTGAGTGAGTTTAACAAACTACGAGCTGCTATGGTCGCTAAATCTGTGGATAAACATGAAACCGCCCTGGAAGTTTTGTATCGGTAAGTGATACAAATCTTGATTCTAGGAAAGATCTTTCTTCAAATCTTGCTTTTTTTTTTCTGCTAGCAGTAGGTAAGAATGATACATGTATACTTTAAATGCTTAGGGTTATATTGTTCAGTGTTAAAATTTTTTTAATCTTTCACTCACAAGTCTATTAAAACAAGTAATATTTGGTGATGTTAAGCTTTGTTAACTAAGTGGAGTCTCACTTTCGTTCTTCCTTTTTATTGTTTGTCCCCGTCCCTTTGTTTTGTTATCTCCAGCTTAATTTAGTTGTGAAAGTTCAAGTCAAGCAGGATGTGGAACCGGCAGTCATATGAATGCTGTGTTGTAGCTATAACTGCTATCACTAATTCGGAATTATATATTTATTACCTGCTTTGCTGCTAAGATTCTTTTTCTTCTGCTAGTTCTTTTGTTTGTCTGGTTACAGGGGAGATGTAACAGATCTTCTGTGTGATTTTGTGGTTCTTTTCTGTTTAGCTACCACATCAGGCATGATTTAGAGACATCCCATATTATAGGGGGTTATTGTTAAATAAATGGCAATGACTACTAACCCTCACCCCCTTTAATATGTGTTGTCCCTAAATCACACATGATGTGGTCGCTTAACAGAAAAAAACCGACTTTTCTAGTGTGTTGTATAAGCTACTCTTGATGCTGTCATTCCACGCTATTTTGCGTCATCTTCCCTTGTTCCAGATGTATTATACTTCTTCAGTGCGGCTGAATGTGATCTATGGCAGTTGGTACCAGGTCATTCCTGTCATATAGACAAACCATCTTGTCAACTGGTTTTTAATGAAATAAATGCCTCCTTTCAGGTTATGTTTAAGTTAAGTCATATTTGCCTGGCTATTACTGAGAGGTGAACTCTAGATAGTTCACTTACACATAGTGACTTCTGTGTCTTACGGGCAGTAACTTATGTGTCTGTATTGCAGTGATGTCTGCTTGTTTGTGCCAGTAACTTCTGTGTCTATATTGCAGTGGCGTCTGTTTGTTTGTGCCAGTAACTTCTGTGTCTGTATTGCAGTGACGTCTGCTTGTTTGTGCCAGTAACTTCTGTGTCTGTATTGCAGTGACGTCTGCTTGTTTGTGCCAGTAACTTCTGTGTCTGTATTGCAGTGACGTCTGCTTGTTTGTGCCAGTATCTTCTGTGTTTATATTGCAGTGACGTCTGCTTGTTTGTGCCAGTATCTTCTGTGTCTATATTGCACTGTCGTTGTTTGTTTGTGGCAGTAACTTCTGTGTCTATATTGTAGTTACTTGAGTGTAATTGTGATAGTGAGTTCTGTATCTGTATATATAAATTTGTAACTTTGACTCTTTTAACCCTATAAAATCACTTTGCTTTATGTTGAGGTTTGTCACAACATTTCTGTCTGGGCTTGAACAATAGAGCCTCTCCAGTTACATGTTGTTAGAGGTAGGGGATTTTTATACTGGACAGAAAGTTATGTGTACCAGCGTCCTGTTATAGGTACTAGAGTCCTGATAGATCACTGCCTCCCTAACAAGCCTATTGTAAGAGTTGACTAACTAGGGGCTGCCTTCAGTGTCCGAGTGCATCCTTTTGAAAGGCCAGGAACCAACAGTCTGCATACAAATAAACCAGATCTCTAAAATGGATGTGCACACATTACTCTAGTTCTGGAACAAGACTAAAGGTCCAGAAGTGGATGAACAACCAGAACTTTCTGTCGGAGTTGACAGTCAGTGATCACAGAGAAGCAGAAGAAGGTATCAGATGAACACAGTTTCTTTGTTGACCCTAACACCATTGTTTTTTAGTGCGTCATGTTTACTTCATTTGTTTGTCATTGTATATTGTCCAATCATTTGCAGGTACTATGACCAGCTAGTTGCTATTGAGAACAAGTTACCCATCGCAGAAAATCAGGTGAGAAGATAATTTTATGCTAGCTGTGCTTCTAACAGTGTGGGTTGTTTTTTGATTGGTTGGTGAGAAGATTGAGGTCAGACTTTGTGGATTTCCAGTTTATATGATCTCTGACAAGTTGGCGGGATGATAAGCATCAGATTATCTTTTTTTGGATCGGAAATGTTGGAATAGCTGACAGTGCTTGTATGTATTGGGTCTGGGCAGGTCTAGAGACTTTACTTTCCTCACTTTCTACATGGTAGTGAGATTCTAGCTCTGTGGGTACAGGACTGAGTAGGATGACCTGTACCAGTGAGGACCTGCCTGGTGATCCTCCAAGCTGTAGGCAGACTTAGAGCATAGTTTCTGCACGCCTGAAACAGCTGCTGCAAGGTCTCAACCAGTGGGAGTCTGGTGGCCTTTGGGCTCTTGTGGGTTGTCTGTTTAATTGCTAACTTAATTTACACAGAAAACTGACCCCCCCAAAATGCAACATCAAAGTAAATGGGACAAACCTCAAGCAAATTGATATGTTTAAGTACTTTGGCAGCCTGATAACATCAGATAGTATAATTTGTTTAGAAGTTAAATGTTGAATAGCTCAAGCAAAGGCAGCTTTTACAAAATGAATATCTTATGCAATGTTTCTTTGTCAGTTGAGATGGGAAAGAGAATTCTTAAAAGCTAAATAAATCCTATCTTGATATATGAATCATGGACAGTTGGAAGATAAGTAAAAAATTGTTTAAAAGCTGTGGTTTTATAGATGAATAATGATAATATCCTAGACAGATAAAACTAGTAATCAAGATGTCTTATGAGGAGCTGACTCCTGAAGAGAACAGATTGCCAACAACAGAAAGAGTCTACATTCTTTGGTCATGTGATGAGAGGGAGAAAACTAGAGTACATCGTGACGGTAGGGAAGTTGGAGGGGAAGAGAGGCAGCGAGGGAAGCCGAGAGAAGAGATGCTGGACAGTGACATCATGGCAGGGAGGATAATCTGTGTCAGAGCTGATTAAAAGTAGACAAGAAAGAAGGTTGTGGATAGACATGATACCAACACCACACGGCATGGAGAAGGTTGTGGATAGACATGACTACCAACGCCACATGACATGGAGAAGGTTGTGGATAGACATGACTACCAACACCACATGACATGGAGAAGGTTGTGGATAGACATGGCTACCAACACCACATGACATGGAGAAGGTTGTGGATAGACATGACTACCAACACCACATGACATGGAGAAGGTTGTGGATAGACATGACTACCAACACCACATGACATGGAGAAGGTTGTGGTAGACATGACTACCAACACCACATGATATAGACCTACCAACACCACATGACATGGAGAAGGTTGTGGATAGACATGACTACCAACACCCACATGGCATGGAGAAGGTTGTGGATAGACATGAGACATGGTTGTGGATAGACCAACACCACATGACATACCAACACACATGACACATGGCATGGAGAACACATGACATGTTGTGGATAGACATGACTACCAACACCACATGACATGGAGAAGGTTGTGGATAGACATGACTACCAACACCACATGACATGGAGAAGGTTGTGGATAGACATGACTACCAACACCACATGACATGGAGAAGGTTGTGGATAGACATGGCTACCAACACCACATGACATGGAGAAGGTTGTGGATAGACATGACTACCAACACCACATGGCATGGAGAAGGTTGTGGATGGACATGACTACCAACACCACATGGCATGGAGAAGGTTGTGGATAGACATGACTACCAACACCACATGGCATGGAGAAGGTTGTGGATAGACATGACTACCAACACCACACGGCATGGAGAAGGTTGTGGATAGACATGACTACCAACACCACATGACATGGAGAAGGTTGTGGATAGACATGACTACCAACACCACATGGCATGGAGAAGGTTGTGGATAGACATGACTACCAACACCACATGGCATGGAGAAGGTTGTAGATAGACATGACTACCAACACCACATGACATGGAGAAGGTTGTGGATAAACATGACTACCAACACCACATGACATGGAGAAGGTTGTGGATAGACATGACTACCAACACCACACGGCATGGAGAAGGTTGTGGATAAACATGACTACCAACACCACATGGCATGGAGAAGGTTGTGGATAGACATGACTACCAACACCACACAGGCATGGACTTTAGGAAGAAGAAACAAGGCCGGGTCAGCTGTCATTACTATGATTACTCTCTGACCACTGTGGAACTCTGCAAGTGTATACCAACATTGAGTTCAACATTTGTCTCTGACCACTGTGGAACTCTGCAAGTGTATACCAACATTGAGTTCAACATTTGTCTCTGCCCAACATGATGTCCATAGATATGTCTGACCCACGTGAAACTTCATAACTAGAACCAGCAGTTTGTGTACTATCTGTATTATTTTGTGCAGGAACAGAGGCGAGCTACGAGAACACTGTATCAGAAATGCAATTGAGCAGAGCCTGATATAGTATTCAAGGAATAATTATGGAGTAGGAGTTGAGCAGCCAGCTAGTGCTGCAGATGGTAATATGTACATTCAAGTGAGCATATATCTGGCAACACAGATAGGGAAATAGTGAACCAACAGGGTGGAAGAAGATACCAGTGAGACCAGCAGGGTGGAAGAAGATACCAGTGAGGCCAGCAGGGTGGAAGAAGATACCAGTGAGACCAGCAGGGTGGAAGGGGATACCAGTGAGACCAGCAGGGTGGAAGGGGATACCAGTGAGACCAGTGGGGTGGAAGAAGATACCAGTGAGACCAGCAGGGTGGAAGAAGATACCAGTGAGAACAGCAGGGTGGAAGGGGATACCAGTGAGAACAGCAGGGTGGAAGGGGATACCAGTGAGACCAGCAGGGTGGAAGAAGATACCAGTGAGACCAGCAAGGTGGAAGAAGATACCAGTGAGACCAGCAGGGTGGAATGGGATACCAGTGAGACCAGCAGGGTGGAATGGGATACCAGTGAGACCAGCAGGGTGGAAGGGGATACCAGTGAGACCAGCGGGGTGGAAGAAGATACCAGTGAGACCAGCAGGGTAGAAGAAGATACCAGTGAGACCAGCAAGGTGGAAGGGGATACCAGTGAGACCAGCAAGGTGGAAGAAGATACCAGTGAGACCAGCTGGGTGGAAGGGGATACCAGTGAGACCAGCAGGGTGGAAGAAGATACCAGTGAGACCAGCAGGCTGGAAGGGGATACCAGTGAGACTAGCAGGGTGGAAGGGGATACCAGTGAGACCAGCAGGGTGGAAGGGGATACCAGTGAGACCAGCAGGGTGGAAGGGGATAGCAGTGAGACCAGCAGGGTGGAAGAAGATACCAGTGAGACCAGCAGGGTGGAAGGGGATACCAGTGAGACTAGCAGGGTGGAAGGGGATACCAGTGAGACCAGCAGGGTGGAAGGGGATACCAGTGAGACCAGCAGGGTGGAAGGGGATACCAGTGAGACTAGCAGGGTGGAATGGGATACCAGTGAGACCAGCAAGGTGGAAGGGGATACCAGTGAGACCAGCGGGGTGGAAGGGGATACCAGTGAGACTAGCAGGGTGGAAGGGGATACCAGTGAGACTAGCAGGGTGGAAGGGGATACCAGTGAGACTAGCAGGGTGGAAGGGGATACCAGTGAGACTAGCAGGGTGGAAGGGGATACCAGTGAGACCAGCAGGGTGGAAGGGGATACCAGTGAGACTAGCAGGGTGGAAGGGGATACCAGTGAGACCAGCAGGGTGGAAGGGGATACCAGTGAGACTAGCAAGGTGGAAGGGGATACCAGTGAGACCAGCAGGGTGCAAGGGTATACCAGTGAGACCAGCAGGGTGGAAGGGGATACCAGTGAGACCAGCAGGGTGGAAGGGGATACCAGTGAGACTAGCAAGGTAGAAGAAGATACCAGTGAGACCAGCTGGGTGGAAGGGGATACCAGTGAGACCAGCAGAGTGGAAGGGGATACCAGTGAGACCAGCAGGGTGGAAGGGGATACCAGTGAGACCAGCAGGGTGGAAGGGGATACCAGTGAGACCAGCAGGATGGAAGGGGATACCAGTGAGACCAGCAAGGTGGAAGGGGATACCAGTGAGACCAGCAAGGTGGAAGGGGATACCAGTGAGAAGATCATAAAAACCTGGTGACGAACAAGATAAAGCATAGATTGACATGCCACTGACACACATATATGTATAAAATAACAGCTGCAATACCCAAGTATGAGAGATGCCCTGGTCTAGTGGCTAGATGCTCATCTGCATATCTGAAGGTTGTAGGTTCAGGTCCTGATGAAGCCTGACTGCTTTCAAGACTTACCTTGGGTTCCAGATCCACCCAGCCTTATATGGGTACTGTGTAAAGTCCTGGGAAGTAAAGGCAGCCAGCGCAATAGTGACATATTGATCACCAAGTGCCAGTTGGTTTATAAAAGAGTCTAAATACCCAGTACTCCTGAAGACATGGAAAAGGGCCCTTTACTAATACATAGGTATGATGAATATTGTGGCAGTTTGGACACGTCTTATAATCTGTTGATACTCAGTCCAGTGATTGTTTTATTTCTGCAGATTCGTGTACAGTTTAAGTGGCGAGATGCCTTTGATGAAGGATCATTTTTGTCTGGCAAGAGGAACTTGGGTAATAACCTGTTGTTGTCTGTTCTTCATTGACTTAATTGTTCCAAGGTTCACTCGCTTATACTGACAGAGAAAGACAGCGATGGACTGAGTGACTGTTCCACCGTATATTTCCACATATTTTATGACATATACTTCACTATCTGTGCTGGGGTGACCTTTGAGCTGTTTTGTATAAAACCTCAGCTGTACGTTCATTGATGTCTGTATACATTTTCTTGTCAGATGTTACCAGTCATTATATATTTAGTCCAAGCAAAGTATTTAGAGTTGAAGCACCCACCTCTTGCCTGAAAAATGCTGGTTTTGAATTCAGTTGTTGACCTCTACATTTGTACACAACCTCATAATGTGACACTGTTGCAGCCACCTGATCACAGGGAAGAGAATCTCACACATAGCCTGTTCTTCTAAACATGTGTTTGTTGTCCTACATCTACACAGTTGATCTACTATGTTGGTGTGTTGTCCTACATCTACACAGTTGATCTACTATGTTGGTGTGTTGTCCTACATCTACACAGTGGATCTACTACGTTGCTGTGTTGTCCTACATCTACACAGTGGATCTAATATGTTGGTGTGTTGTCCTACATCTACACAGTTGATCTACTATGTTGGTGTGTTGTCCTACATCTACACAGTTGATCTACTATGTTGGTGACCTCTTTGTGTTAGCTTTTTTGAAAATAATAGAGCACTTTTGAGATATCCTTGTCCAGGAATATTAACCGATTACACTCATCTAGATTAATAGTTTGGAAGCAGCAGTTTGACAGTACAGTATGCTGTAAGAATTCGACCTATCACTCTTTCATAAAGAATGTTGTATTGAAGAGGGCCGGTGTGTTGTTACCAACAGGACATCCCCAGAAAAGGTGTTTTCATGAGCTGGATCTGTCAGACTCAGTACAAATGTTGTTACCAACATCAGTCATCTAAAGCAAAACTCTTGCCTTCATTGGCCACATTTGTCATCTGTAACTCAGCACATGTGTCCTTACCAGCAGGCAGGCCCATGTATCAGTAACTACACTTTCCTTCCAAGTTGGAGTGCATCAGCCTGACTGGTACTGAGCCAGCAATCTGCTCATAAATAAGCCACATCTGTGAAACTCAGGTTCTGGAGGACTAAAGTCCAGAAGTGCTGTAACAGGCAAAACTTTCCATTAGTGTTTACAGAAGGGGAAAGTGAAGAAGAAGAAAAGTAACTAAACAAGACCACAGGAAAGCCTCTACCCTAGAGTAAACTAATACATACTGTAACAACATATTCTCATAACCTCACTGACAGCTATTGCCTCTGCTGCCTACGAGAAGGTGTGCATTCTCTTCAACATTGCTGCCCTACAGTCTCAGGTAGCCGCTGTACAGAATCATGACAGTAATGATGGGCTGAAACTTACAGTCAAGCTGTTCCAGGTATGTGCTGTCACAGTGTCCACGTTGATTTGTGTCCTTGACTCTAGTTGTTGTAGACAGTTGTGGACTTTCTTCTCCATCACCTTTTTGTACTGTGATGACCTATGACTCTGAGCTTACGTGGCCTGAATGTCAACACATCAGAATCCAGAATTAGAACTGGTTCTCCCAGAGACCCTCCAGTAACTAACTGTCTAGTATCACAGCCTGTGAGGTGATGTAACTGCTCAAGTGGAGCTGCCTCTCCTTCCTAGAGAAATAAATCAGTGCACACAGATTACCACAAATCTGCATCAAGACACATTTAAAAAAAAGACGTAGGCTGACAGATAAACCTAGTCTAAAATGAATACTAGGTAAAAGTCCTGGGAAGTAAAGGTGGCCAGTGTGATGTTGCCCACGCCACCTGCTGAGTGCAGATTGGTCTATCAAATATAGGTCTAGTACTATGTACCCAATACGTGAAAAAGGGGCCTTTGCTTTTTACTTGTACACAGATGATCTGTGATTAGTTGCCAAGGTGTACAGCTAACAGTTACAAGTCAGACTAACCCCACACAGCATCCTTAGCCTCGGTGTAATCAATACAGGTTTGCATTTTCAGACACATCTGGTCAGCCATATCAAAACACTTTCTCAGTCTGTTATGTGACTGTATGGTCCTTTTTAGCAGCAGTACGGAGACAGGAAGAACATTAATGGGCTAAAGCTAGATTGTCAACATAGAATTGATCTAGAAGACAAAGAGCTGTGGTCTGTGGAGAGATGACCCAGAAGACAAAGAGCTGTGGTCTGTGGAGAGATGACCCAGAAGACAAAGAGCTGTGGTCTGTGGAGAGATGACCTAGAAGACAAAGAGCTGTGGTCTGTGGAGAGATGACCCAGAAGACAAAGAGCTGTGGTCTGTGGAGAGATGACCCAGAAGACAAAAAGCCGTGGTCTGTGGAGAGATGACCCAGAAGACAAAGAACTGTGGTCTGTGGAGAGATGACCCAGAAGACAAAGAACTGTGGTCTGCGGAGAGATGACCCAGAAGACAAAGAGCTGTGGTCTGTAGAGAGATGACCCAGAAGACAAAGAGCTGTGGTCTGTGGAGAGATGACCCAGAAGACAAAGAGCTGTGGTCTGTAAAGAGATAACCCAGAAGACAAAGAGCTGTGGTCTGTGGAGAGATGACCTAGAAGACAAAGAGCTGTGGTCTGTGGAGAGATGACCCATAAGACAAAGAACTGTGATCTGTGGAGAGATGACCCAGAAGACAAAGAGCTGTGGTCTGTAGAGAGATGACCCAGAAGACAAAGAGCTGTGGTCTGTGGAGAGATGACCTAGAAGACAAAGAGCTGTGGTCTGTGGAGAGATGGCCCAGAAGACAAAGAGCTGTGGTCTGTGGAGAGATGACCCAGAAGACAGAGAGCTGTGGTATGTGGAGAGATGACCCAGAAGACAAAGAGCCGTGGTCTGTGGAGAGATGACCCAGAAGACAGAGAGCTGTGGTATGTGGAGAGATGACCCAGAAGACAAAGAGCCGTGGTCTGTGGAGAGATGACCCAGAAGACAAAGAGCTGTGGTCTGTAGAGAGATGACCCAGAAGACAAAGAGCTGTGGTCTGTGGAGAGATGACCTAGAAGACAAAGAGCTGTGGTCTGTGGAGAGATGACCCAGAAGACAAAGAGCTGTGGTCTGTGGAGAGATGACCCAGAAGACAGAGAGCTGTGGTATGTGGAGAGATGACCCAGAAGACAAAGAGCCGTGGTCTGTGGAGAGATGACCCAGAAGACAAAGAGCTGTGGTCTGTGGAGAGATGACCCAGAAGACAAAGAGCTGTGGTCTGTGGAGAGATGGCCCAGAAGACAAAGAGCTGTGGTCTGTGGAGAGATGACCCAGAAGACAGAGAGCTGTGGTATGTGGAGAGATGACCCAGAAGACAAAGAGCCGTGGTCTGTGGAGAGATGACCCAGAAGACAAAGAGCTGTGGTCTGTAGAGAGATGACCCAGAAGACAAAGAGCTGTGGTCTGTGGAGAGATGACCTAGAAGACAAAGAGCTGTGGTCTGTGGAGAGATGACCCAGAAGACAAAGAGCTGTGGTCTGTGGAGAGATGACCCAGAAGACAGAGAGCTGTGGTATGTGGAGAGATGACCCAGAAGACAAAGAGCTGTGGTCTGTAGAGAGATGACCCAGAAGACAAAGAGCTGTGGTCTGTGGAGAGATGACCCAGAAGACAAAGAGCCGTGGTCTGTGGAGAGACATGGAGTATATAACATCTGGCAAGTCCATGATGATGATGATAAAACCCAGACCACAGGGTTGTTAAACTAACACTGCTCACAAGGGGGGTGAGTGGTCTCGAGGCATGATGTCCGTCTCAAGTGCTGCAAGTCCCGGGTTCAGACTCCACATTTTTTATGTGGACTTACATCTATTTCCCCTGGTCTCTGGGTAGTAAGATTGGATGCCTGTGTGTATTATTGCGCACATTAAAAAAAATCCCTTGCCAGTTGGAAATAGAAAAGAGTAGCCTAACGGCACTGCCCAGGCAAAATTTGGAGTTTAAAATTTACCAAAAGTATTTTCAGGATCCTCACCGGTGCTATGGAGTTCATGCACTGCGCTGAGATTCTTCGGCTTGAGTTGGAAGTAGAACGGAGCACTTACTGGTTACAACCCTTGTGCCATGATGTTGATCCATTGAATAAACCATAAACCACTCACCGTGCCACTACAACTGACATGTTGAAGTTTTGACAGTGGCATGTTGGATTGTAGGGTAATTTACCTGCTTCAGAAATCGTCTAATGAGTCCAGCAGTCTCTGTCTCTCCCATCACTGTCTGATATTCTGTTTCACATCCCCAGCAAGCCTGTGGAATCTTTGGTCACCTCAAGGACATTGTCCTCTCCCATGTGCGACAGGACCCAACCCCTGACATCAACCCAGACACACTGAGTGCCCTAGCTGCCCTGATGCTGGCCCAGGCACAGGAGTCTATCTATAGGAAGGCCACACAAGGTAGATATCACTTGTGTTTCTTTTTTCGTTTTATTTTCACCTTCTTTGTTTTTCTGCTTTGTTAGTTTTCTTACACTTCTTCTCCTCTTTCTCTACATCATCATCATCCTCCTTCCTCTTAAACTGCAGTCTATGTTATGCCTTCTCCTGGTTCAGGAGTTCCCCCTTCTCTTTTCTTTCCTTCTCTGTCCTATAGTCTATGCCATCTGACATTGGCATTGATATCTGTCTACAAAGGTGGTCTCCAGCCTAGGGGCTCACTTTTAATCTCAAGTGTTTTGCTTTTAATGTTGGGGGGAGTGGGGCGGGTCTTGCCAAGTTCACCACCTGAACAAGGTTGATTGGAGACCACTGATCTACAACCTTCTTTATCATGTACTTTCTGTCAGTTCTGACACAGATGATCTTACGGGCATTATGCCAAATTGTCTAGTCTCCCTGTGCCTCTCTTCCCCCAACTTTCCCATCAGCAGAGTGTACACCACTGTTCTACTTCTCTTGACATTACCAGATCATGTCAATTGTCTTCTGGCTTAATGTTCATTTATCTGATGTTCTGTTGTGATCTGACCATGATATCATTTGTTGATAATATTCAGGGGGGGGGGGGGGGGGGGGGGGTGCTATTTTAGTACCTTTATGTTTGCTTAATTATCTCATTTATTATTATTTTCTGTATTAAAAATTTCTTGTTGCCATCTGCAGATAAAATGAAGGAAGCTATGATTGCCAAACTGGCATACCAGACATCTGAGCTGTATTCAGATGCAGCCAAACTGATGCAGCTGGGCTCCATCCGAGAACTCTGGCCAAAGGTAAGTAATGGAGATCTGGGTGAGCAGAACTGATCTCAGTGCATACTTGAGAAACACATATATAAAAGATGCACCTTGTGTGTAGTCTATTTTTCACTGAATGTGTGGTCCACCTTCTTCTTCTTCTTTTTCTGCTTCTGCTTCTTCTTCTTCTTCTTCTTCGTATTTTTCTTCTTCTTCTTCTTCTTCTTCTTCTTCTTCTTCTTCTTCTTCTTCTTCTTCTTCTTCTTCTTCTTCTGCTTGTTCGTCCATCTTGGAACATATCTTATTCCAAAACCTGGGTGTGCCTGCACATTCTTTTTACATATCTAACTTATTTGTATGCAGATTGTTAGTTCCTTACCCCTCAGGCAGATGCACTCCGACCTCGGAAGAAGCCACCAGTTGGTCGACTCTTGTGACATGCTTATTGGAGAGGAAGTGGGTCTGCTCTCGTTCTGTATGGTATACTGTGTACTGATTGATGTAGTAGTACATGCAGTATTGGAGGTTGCTGGTTATGTATGGTATACTGTGTACTGATTGATGTAGTAGTACATGCAGTATTGGTAGTTGCTGGTGACTGCTCTATGATATTGTATGTAATGCTTGCCAGTAGGTGTAGACTTGTGCCACTGACTCAGCTCAGTGTCCAATTATGTCTTACCTGATGGACCTGTGATTTATTGAGTTGTGACATGTCCATCACTTAGGGGTTTCATGATTGTCTGTTGTAGAGGCTAGCAGGTCTCATGATTGTCTGTTGTAGAGGCTAGCAGGAGTCTCATGATTGTCTGTTGTAGAGGCTAGCAGGAGTCTCATGATTGTCTGTTGTAGAGGCTAGCAGGAGTCTCATGATTGTCTGTTGTAGAGGCTAGCAGGAGTCTCATGATTGTCTGTTGTAGAGGCTAGCAGGAGTCTCATGATTGTCTGTTGTACAGGCTAGCAGGAGTCTCATGATTGTCTGTTGTACAGGTAGCAGGAGTCTCATGATAGTCTGTTGTAGAGGCTAGCACACTTGCCTAGTCCAGCCTCTAGTAGCAACACTACTTTACCTACAGAATTATCAGCTTCTGGGAGCTAGGAAATCCTTTTGGAGGGACGGATGTCACTGACCCTCATTATCCTTTAACCTAGTATATAAGGTCTGAATACCTGAGACTTCTATAAAAATACTTGCTACAGAATGTGTCATGTAAGAGTAACCTGTTGACTGTTGCAGGACTGGCTGCCCATTGTGATAATGAAGCAGAATGCCTTCCATGGACTGGCTGAGCTGTATCAGAGCATTGTGTGTCAGCAGTCCAAGGGTTACGGGGAAGAGATTGCTAGACTGCAGGTTGGTATCCACCATCTCCCTCTTTAAATCTCTCTGTATCTCTGTCTCTGTCTCTCTATATCTTTCTCTCTCTCTCTGTCTCTCTGTATCTTTCTCTCTCTCTGTCTCTCTCTCGTTGTTTAAACACTCTCTGAGAAATACTCTCTTCCTCTCTCTGCCTCTGACTTTCTGTATGTCTCAGAGATCATACAAAACATCATGAGATGGTCACTTGTTGAAGGTGTCTATAGTACGGTTTCTGGTATTTGAAAACTAGAGCTGTTGATGAAAAAGTAGTTTATATGTCTCACAACATTCACGAACCAGTGTATGTATTCTGTCAATCGAGTGCCATCTACATATTGAAGTTTGGCTGCGTAGAACCTCCAAAACTTCCTGTATCGTGTTCCAGTAATTATTCTAATGACCCTGTCCATCTGTTAGAGTTATCTTCCCACTTGTATCTCTACGATCCTGTTTTCTCTCATGACCTAATTTTTAACTCCAGAATTTGTAGCAAAGGGCCTCGAGCTGGCTCTGGACGCAGCGAAAACAACAGTATTTTGGGACGTTTATGCTTCGGTGAGCTGATGTCCGGGTGTCTATAGCGGTTGTGAGTTTTACATCCCTTTGAAAAAGTATCGTGTCCGAATTGTCTGCCAGTGATCCTCTGCCACCTGCTAACAAAAGTCCAACATGTGTCCGGTAAACAGAATCGTCAGGGGCAGTCGCTCTGCTTCCGCCAGGTACACTGACTGTGTCTAATTAGCTGCGGCGACGACTTCTTATCTCACAGTACCTACTGCAAATCAGAAAGAAAACACCATCCGGTAAAGCTTTCGTTTGCAGGGCCAGCCCTGAGCTTCATGAAGCTCAGGTGGGCCAAGTTTCCGAAAGTGTAACTAGGAGAAATTGTGGGCCGAAACACTTGTCGACGAGGATAACTTCTACTGATGACTGGTAGATCCTTGCTGTACTTGCTCCCTGTGAGTTTATTCCTATTACCTCCAGAATTTGTTATAATAAGTTTTGTTTGTGTTTATTTTTTTCATTTTTAGCTGCTATAATATTTGATGTTTATGCTTCCTTGATTAGATGACTTTGTATTCATAGCTGTTGTGATAGTTATACCTGTTTAAAAGTATTTATAGGAGGAACAAAAATACATTTTGTTTTACAGCATGCAAAGGAACTTTTGATTAGCTCACAGAATCGTGGCGGGGCAGTGTTCTGCTTCCGCCAGGAATTGTCTCGTGTGGAGCGAGCCTTGGAGTCAGCACTGAAGGACAACAATTTCATCTACCATGATAAAATCCCTGACCTGAAGACCCTTCAGCCAATAGGAAAAGCTGTTGTTGCAAAGCCAACCCCCGTGTCTCAGCCGATGAGTGCCAAGTTTACAGGTAACTAACTGGATGACTGTTGATGTGAAATGTTTACATGTGAAGACGCTGGCCAAGCTCATGCAGTTCTTCTGTATTCCACCTTAACCCTTTCACCCTGGGAGTGCTAAAAAAAATGGGTTGTGACACATCACAGTTTTTTTCAAAATATATAAAGATATACGGATCGGAGCGTCAAGGGTTCGGGTCTTAACGGAGCCAGACTTTTTTTTTTCAGACAAAAAAAATAGGCCTTGGCTCCTTGGTCAACCCAGCCTTGAGTGGGTATCAGGTACAGCCCTGGTAAGTAAAGGTGGCCGGCGTGGTTGCTGACCACATCGCCCACCATGTGCCGATTGATGTGTAAAATATAGTTCCAGCCCTAAATGCCTAGTATGCAGGACAGCATTGAAAAGGGTCCTTATGAAGATATGCAAAGGGAGTAATCACTAAACATGAGTAGAGCGAAGCATTACATGGAATGCATTTCCTGGGAAGTAACAAATGATGTTTTGAAATGTGACTTCTGTCAGTGACCCCTGATTTGACTAGGCAACCCTCTATCACTGAAACCGGCGTGTCCAAACATGTGTTTGCCTGCTGGGTGACTCATGTCAGACCCATGACCTCTATCACTGGGGCCTAACAAATGTGTGTTAGGTGACTCCTGTCATGACCCCTGACCTCTATCACTGGGGCCTAACAAATGTGTGCTGGGTGACTCCTGTCATGACCCCTGACCTCTATCACTGGGGCCTAACAAATGTGTGCTGTGTGACTCATATGAACCTTGACCTCTATCACTGTGAGGCTTGCATGAAAATTTGACCTCAGTTTGATTAAAAATATCTGTAGTTAGAGGTAAGCTACAGTACTATTTTTAGTTAACTATGCATATCCTGACCTCCTAAATGTTTACACTAGGCACAAACACATTCAGTAGTATCAACTGTGCATATTGTAAAGTCTTCACTGTAGAAAAGTCATGTAAGGGGCTTTAACACTGTCACTACAAGTGAAGACACGTTCGCCTTATAATCGCAGAATCATATTAAGTATTTTTATTTTGGTTTTTATTTTGAAAGAATTAACACTTTTCTACATCCTCTGTTGCAACATATTTGGCTGCTTAATTTTGGTATGTATTAACATGGTAATCTAATGAACTATGATTAAAGTCTGATCTGGTAGGTTGTAAAACAAAGGGGAACAGACTAAGTAAATGTCTTTCATTGTTCACAACCCAACAGTAAGGACACAGTTTCCAACAAAATACATTTCTAATCAGCTTGTCACAGTTACGTTAAATCATGACAGATCTGTCTTATTTTCTTCTGTGGACACGTACATATCACACAAGATCATCAGATCATAGGAAACAGAACTCCAGCCATGACATCCATCAGTTTATCTCCTCTACAACCACGCTTCATCTTTTCTACAACCACGCTTCATCTCCTCTACAACCTTGCTTCACTTTCACTCCTTACACATCATCTCAGTTAAATCTTTCTTCTGCAACCACGCTTCATCTCCTCTACATACCACTTGCTTCATCTGGCTCTTACAACCATCAGGTAATCTTTATCTCTGATCTACAAAACCACGCTTACTATCTGTCTCTACAACCACGTTCAGTCTCCAACAAATTACACTTTATCTCTTCTTACAAACCTTGCTTTCTGATCTCCTCTACAACCACGCTTTATCTCCTCTACAACCATGCTTCATCTCCTCTACAACCACGCTTTATCTCTTCTACAACCACGCTTCATCTCCTCTACAACCACGCTTTATCTCTTCTACAACCACGCTTCATCTCCTCTACAACCACGCTTTATCTCTTCTACAACCACGCTTCATCTCCTCTACAACCACACTTTATCTCTTCTACAACCACGCTTCATCTCCTCTACAACCACACTTTATCTCCTCTACAACCATGCTTTATCTGCTCTACAACCATGCTTCATCTCCTCTACAACCATGCTTTATCTCATCTATAACCACGCTTCCTCTACAAACACGCTTCATCTCATCTACAACCACGCTTCATCTCCTCTACAACCACGCTTCATCTCCTCTACAACCACGCTTTATCTCATCTACAACCACGCTTCATCTCCTCTACAAACACACTTCATCTCCTCTACAACCACGCTTCATCTCCTCTACAATCATGCTTTATCTCATCTACAACCATGCTTTATCTCCTCTACAACCACGCTTCATCTCCTCTACAACCACGCTTCATCTCCTCTACAACCACGCTTCATCTCCTCTACAACCACGCTTCATCTCCTCTACAACCACACTTCATCTCCTCTACTACCACACTTCATCTCCTCTACAACCACGCTTCATCTCATCTACAATCTTCATCTCCTCTACAGGCATGCTTCATCTCCTATACAACCACTCTTCATCTCCTTTCACAGAATTCTTCATTTTATCTAGATAATCTTATTTCATCTCCTTTCACAATATCCTTCCTTTTATCTAGATAATCTTATTTCATCTCCTTTCTTGATATCCTTCTGTTCTGTAAAGCCATGTGTCATCTCCAACCATGATCAAACCATATAAAGCTTCAGTTTTACCCTCACATAATTCTTCCAGGCCCACGATTCAGAACCTCGGTATAAAGAGCGAGACATGTAACACTTGTTGACTTCTAGTTTTATCTCACAGCTTTCCTGGCAAGTCTCATATTTACATTTCCTAGACAGTTTTAGTGAATAGCACCTCATTTCAGCCGGCACATGATTGCCGCTGCAGTAGTAATTAGAATATCCTAATAAAACATGTGTCAGAGCTGTCAGTTTTGTTGCCCATTTTCTAGATTTGTTTGACAAGATTGTTCCACTACCTGTACACGAGGCACTGGCCAGCTTTGAAAACCGCAAGTCACAGATTGCCAGCTTGGAAATAGGGCGGCTTCGAAGTGCCACTGACCTTCTGAATAGGTAAATCTCCTTGTGGATGGTTAAGGTACTGCCTTGAAATAAATGTATTCAGCTTGTAGTGGTAGAGTAGCTGTGTGCGTATCTACACTTAGTATAACAGTTATGCTATATGTATCTGCCTAGACATGCGGAGGAGGATAGATGTATGGTGAATTCAACCTTTAGAAATTTATTATTACATTAAGTTATTATAGGATAATATAGTGTTATTTTAAACATGCCTATTGCAGATATGTTTTTGTTTTGACCTGATATACAAGATATGTATGTAAATAGCACAATTTGTAATACACCTCTGCATTGTTGAAGAGAACTGGTATCAGAATCGTGATTTTAAAATTGTAAAACAGTCTGTTCATTGGTTGTTCCTTGTGTGATCTTGTTGTTTCAGTGTGCTAGCTTCCCTGAACCTGCCTGCTGCTCTAGAAGATCTGTCTGGTGAAAGAGTACCCCATTCTCTCCTTGAGAAGGCCCAGCAAATCCAGGAGCTGGGAGGACTTGCCAAACTTGATCAGTTAATGACTGACCTTCCTGAGCTTCTCACTCGGAACAGGGAGATCCTTGATGAGGTAGGTGCCTGTCTCTGTCTCTCTGTGTGCGTGTGTGCATGTGCGTGTGTGTAAGGGGTAGGGTAGATAAAGTAGGTAGCTTTTTTTGTATTTTTATGGATAGATAGATTGTAGAGGGAAAGTAAAGGCTTATAAATGGGCATAGATAGATGGATAGAGATAAATCAGTAAGTAAGCTAGGTAGATGAACAGATATGCAATTCATAAACATATGGGACAGGTGGCTATATGAGCAGGCATACAGGTAGGTATATAACAAGATAAAAGGTAGATTTCTTATAGGTAACTAACAGTAGTAGGTAATTAGGCAATATCATGACAGTCAGGCAAATAAATAATAGATCATAATTGATAATTAAAAAGATAAATATCCAGTATAGAGATAGATAATATAGCTTGTTATAAGATTAAGTCAGCAAATAGAGATGTTCATAGAAAACACATGTGCTATTTCATCCCCTCCGAGTTCATGGTTACAGATTCCTAGTTGAGAAATCTGTTTTAAAATTCATTTGTATCCTTATATCAAGCACCTTCAGGATGCATTATTTAGTGTGTTCTGTAATGTTATGTACGGCCATCTTTAGTTTTATGCAGGTGCAGCTTCTAATTTCACATTCCTGTGCATTCTTATATGTTGAATGTCAGTATTTATGTCACCAAATACCAAATATATTGAAAATGGAATGTCTTTTTTGTTTATTTTTAATAGATGTCATGTTATTGTTCTGGAAGTTTGGTAAAATGGCAATAAACTGGTTGTTCTATACGATCTTGTCTTGTACCAGTTAGTTAGTGTATGAATGGAACGAATCAAGAATTGACATCCCTGCCTGCAGTCGGATGTTCCTACATGTGCTCCATCTCCTTCTTCAGTAGCCCGCGAAGAGTCGATATGCTAATAGTGAAGAAAATATTAAACTCAGTGCACTAACTCCATTCCGTTGTTCCGGCAGAGTAACTGCGTTAGAATGTAACTTCATTAACCAAACTTCCTTACAAAGTTAATTGACCAAAATTGTGGTCCCGGGAGGAATGCATTATTGTTCTCAAATTTCAGTTCATTGGAATTGATGTTCTACTTTGCGGTCTGTTTCATATGCTCAGATCAGGCCATCAGGTGGGTTGCTTTTGTGAACTCGCATGTCCGCAGCATAATTTGCTCTTGAGGCCAGGTGTCTTTTCGAAGTTGTAGGTAGAGTTGGCAGGTCTGCAGAATGTGTTCAGGTGTTGTGGTCCGGTTTGACATTTTTATTTTATGCATGTGGTAGTTGAGCCTGCAGTGTCCTGTTCGTAGACAGAAAATTGTTGTATGTTGCTTTCTGTTGAGTCCACTGATGGGGTCTTGTGGATGTTTACTGTTTGTTCTGATGATGTCTGAAAATTTGTTGAATTTTCACTTCATAAGTGTTCTGATTTCTAGTAATGACAATGAATAGATGTATTGTTTTTCCTTTGTTCCATTTCAATTGATCTTAATGAGGTTTTACTGTATCATGCATTGAAATGTGTAATTTTTTTCTTTTGTCTTGTCACACAGAGCATCAAAACCCTGGACGAAGAAGGCAGGTCCGACCAGCAGCTGAGAGAACAGTTCAAAGAACGATGGACAAGAACCCCCTCGGCAGGCCTGACCAAACCCATGCGAGAGGAGGCTGGCAAGTACCGGATGATCCTGGATACAGCCGTTCAAGCGGACCAGATGGTCAAGGAGAAGTTTAACGCCCATAAAAGTGCAATATCTCTGTTGTCAAAGCCAAAGGTACGGCATCTTTGTGTCATTTATGTGTATGTGATGATGTCATTGTCCTTCTCTGTGTTGTCTTCTTCCTCTTTTCTAGTCCTGTATTGTGTTTCATCGTCATGTTTTGTAGAAGCATCAGGTGAGAACGTAGGTATGTGCATTTAAGGCACTTATATTTACGGCCTCAGATATTGGACATGTCTTTTGTCTGCGTGGTCGACCTCTGACTGCTTCCATTATGTCTTAGTGACAGAGCTCTCCGGGTCTTACTTTTTTGTGGTAATCTTTACACATGTCCAGACCATTTGAACTTTTGTCTCTTCTTGTCGTTCAACACATTATTTTTTTAATGTATTGTTTTTTAAGGATGTCTTTCGAAAATTGCATGGGGGTTGTGGCCAGTTTTAAGCATTACCATGGCGACAGTACCACTACAGGTTTGGCTGAGTTAGCATTTGATTGTAACAGATTATGTTTCTTCTGACAATTTGTTCTTGTTTTGCTTCAGGGTGAACTTGAGGCTGCCCTGCCAGCGGCCAGTGCTGTAGCCTCCCTGCAGAAGAGCAGTGTGGTTGTCAGGCTGAGGGAGCTTCTTGAGCAGGTTGGTGTGTGTCCCTGTCAGCATTAGCCTCCAGAAGTCCTCTTACATTTAGCCCTTCCAAATATCCATCTTGTATACAGCAATTGTATTTTATCAACACATCATGTTTTGTTCATATACCAATTTGCATAATATGAAACAAAAAAACATGCACACACATACCACAGACATTCACTCATGCACTCTTAACTCCATTACATGCACACACACACACACACCATACATACATACATACATACATACATACATACATACATACATACATACATACATACATACATACATACATACATACATACATACATACACACATACATACATACATACACACACACACACACACACATATTCATCCATCCATACTATCACACATATCACATGGATATTATGGATGGAATCCAGCCAAGCAACTTTAGTTTCTGTCATCAGCATCTATAAGTTTCTGTAGCAGAGACAGTTTTATACATAGTTAGGGAGGTGGCCACACGCCTTTCCCATGTGAGCTTGGGGCTGGCAATGGCGGCGATATCATGTGTAATTTTTGAAATATAATTTGACTACATGTAGTTTGCAATAACTGTTGAAAATGTAAACATCCTGTAATGATTTGGGGTATAGTAATATATTCATGACGATTTCAGGTGAACACAATCAAGGCAGAGAGAGAAGTCATCGAGGTAGAAGTTAAAGATGCCAAGTTTGATATGAGTGAGTTTTCTGTATTAGTCAGTAGTCTACAGTGTACAGCTCAACTTTAGGTCTAGACAAGTAAATATTTGGGCTTCAAGATAACTAGACTTAGGGGTCTTGACAAGTAGATTTTGGGACATAGACAACCAGACTTAGGGGTCTTGACAAGTAGATTTTGGGACATAGGGGCCTTGACAAGTAGATTTTGGGACATAGGGGCCTTGACTAGTAGATTTTGTGACATAGACAACTAGACTTAGGGGCCTTGACAAGTAGATTTTGAGACATAGACAACCAGACTTAGGGGTCTTGACAAGTAGATTTTGGGACATAGACAACCAGACTTAGGGGCCTTGACAAGTAGATTTTAGGACATAGACAACCAGACTTAGGTGTCTTGACAAGTAGATTTTAGGACATAGACAACCAGACTTAGGGGTCTTGACAAGTAGATTTTGGGACATAGACAACTAGACTTAGGGGCCTTGACAAGTAGATTTTGAGACATAGACAACCAGACTTAGGGGTCTTGACAAGTAGATTTTGGGACATAGACAACCAGACTTAGGGGCCTTGACAAGTAGATTTTAGGACATAGACAACCAGACTTAGGTGTCTTGACAAGTAGATTTTAGGACATAGACAACCAGACTTAGGGGTCTTGACAAGTAGATTTTGGGACATAGACAACCAGACTTAGGGGCCTTGACAAGTAGATTTTGGGACATAGACAACCAGACTTAGGTGCCTTGACAAGTAGATTTTGGGACATAGACAACCAGACTTAGGGGCCTTGACAAGTAGATTTTGGGACATAGACAACCAGACTTAGGGGCCTTGACAAGTAGATTTTGGGACATAGACAACCAGACTTAGGGGCCTTGACAAGTAGATTTTGGGACATAGACAACCAGACTTAGGGGCCTTGACAAGCAGATATTATGATATAGACAGCCAGACTTAGGGGCTTTGATACGCAGATATTGGGACATAGACAACCAGACTTAGGGGTCCTGACAAGTAGATTTTGAGACATAGACAACCAGACTTAGGGCCCTTGACAAGTAAATATTGGGACATAGACGACCAGACGTAGGGGCCTTGACAAGCAGATATTATAACATAGCCAGACTTAGGGGCCTTGACAAGTAGATTTTGAGACATAGACGATCAGACTTAGCGGCATTGACAAGCAGATATTATGACATAGACGATCAGACTTGGCGGCATTGACAAGCAGATATTATGACATAGACGATCAGACTTGGCGGCATTGACAAGCAGATATTATGACATAGACGATCAGACTTGGTGGCATTGACAAGCAGATATTATGACATAGACGATCAGACTTGGCGGCATTGACAAGCAGATATTATGACATAGACGATCAGACTTGGCGGCATTGACAAGCAGATATTATGACATAGACGATCAGACTTGGCGGCATTGACAAGCAGATATTATGACATAGACGATCAGACTTGGCGGCATTCACAAGCAGATTATTGGGACCTAGACAACCAGACTTAGGGGTCCTGACAAGTAGATTTTGTGACAATAGTCAACCAGACTTAGGGGTCCTGACAAGTAGATTTTGTGACAATAGACAACCAGACTTAGGGGTCCTGACAAGTAGATTTTGTGACAATAGACAACCAGACTTAGGGGTCCTGACAAGTAGATTTTGTGACAATAGACAACCAGACTTAGGGCACACCTTTCTCTGTCTGTGCTCAGAGTAGTGAGGATGGCTATCTCTGACAGTCCTGGCACTTTTAATCATCTGTCTATAAAACCTTTTATATAAGCAACATTAGCTTTGTTCAGTAACATGGAATGTTAAAGTCAAGCCCTCTTTGCCATGCCTTCAGGTAAAAAGGGCTAATGCTATATTTTATAGACCAATTGGCACTCGGTGAGGAATTTGGTCAACATCACGCCAGCTGCCTTTATCTGGTACACTCGGAGCCAAGGGCATCTTTAAAGGAAGTCTGACTTAGTCAGGACCCAAACCTATAACCTATAGCCTCTTTACCATGGTGGCTCTCAAAATGCTGTAGTATTCAGAATATTGCACCTATGTAGTAAGCTAAAGACTGTAGCCTGTGAGAATTCTGTGACTCGTCTATGTACATGCAACATTTATGCTCACTCCCAGGTGGCACATTTTTGGCGGCTCTCGCAGCAGAGGGTTTGATCAACGAAGAATCCATTTCTGTGTCAGAGTTAAACAAGGTGTATGCACCTCTCCGAGAACAAGTGACAGACAGCCTTCATCGTCAGGATATACTTCTCTCACAGATTCAGGTAGACTGTCACTGGCTTGTTTATGTGTGCTTATTGTCCTTGTTTGTCTGTGTTTACAGTGTGCAGGTCTTACAGAACTGTTTCAGAATTGTTGTAGACTGTCACTGGCTCGTTTATGTGTGCTTATTGTCCTTGTTTGTCTGTGTTTACAGTGTGCAGGTCTTACAGAACTGTTTCAGAATTGTTGTAGACTGTCACTGGCTCGTTTATGTGTGCTTATTGTCCTTGTTTGTCTGTGTTTACAGTGTGCAGGTCTTACAGAACTGTTTCAGAATTGTTGTAGACTGTCACTGGCTCGTTTATGTGTGCTTATTGTCCTTGTTTGTCTGTGTTTACAGTGTGCAGGTCTTACAGAACTGTTTCAGAATCTGTTGTAGACTGTCACTGGCTCGTTTATGTGTGCTTATTGTCCTTGTTTGTCTGTGTTTACAGTGTGCAGGTCTTACAGAACTGTTTCAGAATTGTTGTAGACTGTCACTGGCTCGTTTATGTGTGCTTATTGTCCTTGTTTGTCTGTGTTTACAGTGTGCAGGTCTTACAGAACTGTTTCAGAATTGTTGTAGACTGTCACTGGCTCGTTTATGTGTGCTTAATGTCCTTGTTTGTCTGTCTCTCTGTGTTTATAGTGTGCAGGTCTTACAGAACTGTTTCAGAATTATTGTAGACTGTCACTGGCTCGTTTATGTGTGCTTACTGTCCTTGTTTGTCTGTCTGTCTATGTTTATAGTGTGCAGGTCTTACAGAACTGTTTCAGAATTATTGTAGGCTGTCACTGGCTTGTTTATGTGTGCTTACTGTCCTTGTTTGTCTGTCTGTCTATGTTTATAGTGTGCAGGTCTTACAGAATTGTTGAAGACTGGCCAACTGTGCCTCCCTGCTGCTGACATTCACTAGAGTTTTGTTTCCATTTCAGATCATGCTCTTATGATGAAGGTTATAGTCATCACATAGAATAGGTTATGTCATTATTGGGTGGGGATGGCCACAGAATTAGACAGTGCTAGCATGTTGAGACAGTGTTGGCATGTTGAGACAGTGTTAGCATGTTAAGACAGTGCTGCCATGTTGAGACAGTGTTAACGTGTTGAGACAGTGCTAGCATGTTGAGGCATGGCTATCAGGTTGAGAGTGTTAACGTGTTGAGACAGTGCTAGCATGTTGAGGCATGGCTATCAGGTTGAGACAGTGTTAACGTGTTGAGACAGTGCTAGCATGTTGAGACAGTGCTAGCATGTTGAGGCAGTGCTAGCATGTTGAGGCAGTGCTAGCATGTTGAGGCAATGCTAGCATGTTGACACAGTGCTAGCATGTTGAGGCAGTGCTAGCATGTTGAGACAATGCTAGCATGTTGAGACAGTGCTAACATGTTGAGGCAGTGCTAGCATGTTGAGGCAGTGCTAGCATGTTGAGGCAGTGCTAGCATGTTGAGGCAGTGCTAGCATGTTGAGACAATGCTAGCATGTTGAGACAATGCTAGCATGTTGAGGCAGTGCTAGCATAATGAGACAATGCTAGCATGTTGAGGCAGCTCTAGCATGTTGAGGCAGTGCTAGCATGTTGAGAAAATGCTAGCATGTTGAGACGATGCTAGCATGTTGAGACGATGCTAGCATGTTGAGGCAGCTCTAGCATGTTGAGGCAGCTCTAGCATGTTGAGGCAGTGCTAGCATGTTGAGACAATGCTAGCATGTTGAGGCAGCTCTAGCATGTTGAGGCAGCTCTAGCATGTTGAGGCAGCTCTAGCATGTTGAGGCAGTGCTAGCATGTTGAGGCAGTGCTAGCATGTTGAGGCAGTGCTAGCATGTTGAGGCAGTGCTAGCATGTTGAGGCAGTGCTAGCATGTTGAGGCAGCTCTAGCATGTTGAGGCAGTGCTAGCATGTTGAGGCAGTGCTAGCATGTTGAGGCAGTGCTAGCATGTTGAGGCAGTGCTAGCATGTTGAGACAATGCTAGCATGTTGAGGCAGCTCTAGCATGTTGAGGCAGCTCTAGCATGTTGAGGCAGCTCTAGCATGTTGAGGCAGCTCTAGCATGTTGAGGCAGTGCTAGCATGTTGAGACAATGCTAGCATGTTGAGGCAGTGCTAGCATGTTGGGGCAGTGCTAGCATGTTGAGGCAGCTCTAGCATGTTGAGGCAGTGCTAGCATGTTGAGGCAGTGCTAGCATGTTGAGGCAGCTCTAGCATGTTGAGGCAGCTCTAGCATGTTGAGGCAGCGCTAGCATGTTGAGGCAGCTCTAGCATGTTGAGGCAGCTCTAGCATGTTGAGGCAGCTCTAGCAGGTTGAGGCAGCTCTAGCATGTTGAGGCAGTGCTAGCATGTTGAGACAGTGCTAGCATGTTGAGGCAGTGCTAGCATGTTGAGGCAGCTCTAGCATGTTGAGGCAGCTCTAGCATGTTGAGGCAGTGCTAGCATGTTGAGGCAGTGCTAGCATGTTGAGGCAGTGCTAGCATGTTGAGGCAGCTCTAGCATGTTGAGGCAGTGCTAGCATGTTGAGACAATGCTAGCATGTTGAGGCAGCTCTAGCATGTTGAGGCAGCGCTAGCATGTTGAGGCAGCGCTAGCATGTTGAGGCAGCTCTAGCATGTTGAGGCAGCTCTAGCATGTTGAGGCAGCTCTAGCATGTTGAGGCAGTGCTAGCATGTTGAGGCAGTGCTAGCATGTTGAGGCAGCTCTAGCATGTTGAGGCAGTGCTAGCATGTTGAGGCAGCTCTAGCATGTTGAGGCAGCGCTAGCATGTTGAGGCAGTGCTAGCATGTTGAAGCAGCTCTAGCATGTTGAGGCAGCTCTAGCATGTTGAGGCCAGCTGGTACACCTAGGGTATGCAGTTTGGTCAGTAAAAAATCATTTTCTACGAAACTGAAAGTCTCACAGCGTTTAGTCTCTTGTACGGTATTGATGATGTCTCTCCTGTCCATCAGTGACCCATTTCTGATAGTCGCACTGCCAGCCAGGGTGTCTGCTCTCTCATTGCCTTTCACACCAGCATGCTCGGGGACAGAAATAAAAGTCATTTTGTGAAACGCTGGAGCCACTGTTTCCATACATGCCTCGGTTTAATCTTCTGTTTTAAACAAAACGTGCAAATATCACAGCTCTTCTGCAAACAGACACATTAGAATGCCAGTAAATTTTTTAAAGGGACACCCAAAAAATTTGTTTCTGAAGACTGCCGATTGACCTTTGACCTGCTGGACCAGGAAGTCTCTAGCTGTAGGAAACCTGCCAGTAGAAATGGCTTGTATGCAGTCTCAGTCGTTCACAGACTTGTCCACTGTGATAAGGAGAACACACTGTAGTGTACAAATCTTACTCTAGCACTTCTTCTCCCAAGGGCCAGAGCCACCTGGAGGTTCCAGCTTCCATCTCTGATTTATGCAAAAGTGGTCAATTTCTCTGTGAACTCTATAAGGTTTGAAATAAAAACAGAAATTGTATACTTCCAACCCCCATGGTCACAACTGAAGCAGACTAAACAGTTCTGCATCCATCTTGTTGCATGTTACCACTGCTGTCAGGAACTTATTAACTAACAAGAAAGGTGCAGCCTGCTGTGTGGTGTCTCCAACAGTTTGAGAATCTAAAGCATGGACACGCAGAAGAGAAAGCTGCCAATTACACACCCACTGTTTAATCTCTGGCATGGACACACAGAAGAGAAAGCTGCCAATTACACACCCACTGTTTAATCTCTGGCATGGACACACAGAAGAGAAAGCTGCCAATTACACACCCACTGTTTAATCTCTGGCATGGACACACAGGAGAGAAATCTGCCTGCTACACATCCACTGTTTGACTTGTGTTTGACATGCAGTTTATTGTTCTCAAACACCAGAATGCAAATACAGAGTTCTGCAATGCTAAAACCTCCAGCCAGAATGCAGCCCAGCGAGAGACACTGCTCAAAGACCTGGCCGCTGGCTTTGACATGTTTATGGAACTCAAGGGCAACCTGGAAGAAGGCACAAAGGTCAGTTGTGTTATCTTTTTCATGTGTGTTGTTCTTGGTGGCGTACATATCATTCCTTTTCAGTTCAATTAAATTGAGCCGGGAATCGCAGCACTTGAGACATTTGTCTTCATCTTCGTCACAGCACTTAAGACATTCGTCTTCATCTTCGTCACAGCACTTGAGAAATTCATCTTTATCTTCATCACAGCACCTGAGACATTCATCTTCATCACAGCACTTGAGACATTTGTCTTTCTTCTCATCACAGCACATGGGACATTCATCTTTCTCCTCATCACAGCACATGGGACATTCGTCTTTCTCCTCATCACAGCACATGGGACATTCGTCTTTCTCCTCATCACAGCACATGCGACATTCGTCTTTCTCCTCATCACTGCACAAGGGACATTTGTCTATATCTTAATCACAGCACTTGAGACTGGGTCTTCAACAGCCAGTGAAGAGTTACAATTTTCCCTGGTACCAGCTGTCAGTCTCAGCTTTCCTCTGAGTGCAGTCTCCCCTCGTTACTCCCCACCGCCCATTCTCTCCACTTTGTTGTCATCTACTGCTTATCAGTGTCACCTTACATAAGCATGTGTCTGTCAACTTGCTTGTTATACCAGGTGGATTTTTGTTTCATTTGTTGTTGAAAAATGCGTTAAATTTTTCAATTGTTATGATTTTTGAAAACAATTGTATATCTGCCCATTGTTGTGCATTACTGTTGTACTTTGAGTGTGCACACATGTGTTTTTTCTTTATGTGCATCTGTCTGCCGTGTAGCTAGCTGTCTATGTGTGTATCTTTCTGGGTTTCTGTTGATTGTATGTGTTTATATCTATTTCACTGCCTGTTTATGTCTGTCAGTCAGTATGTGAGTGAGTGTCTTCCAGTCTGTTTTTCTGGCTGCCTGTCCGTATGTGTACGTGTGTATGTACATAGGTAAACAGGTAGGTGTATATGAATGATTGTTTATTGTTTGTAAATAGTATGTGTTTTTCTCCTATGACAAAGAGTGAACAGATATTGAAATTAACTGCATTGGAAATTTTGTTACGAGAAGACAAATAGTTGACCTTCTTGGGAAGTAAGCCTCACTAGAAAGGAGAATATTTGGGTTTCATTGTTTTGTTTCCCTGGTTAGTATTGAAGCTTTCAGACTACAGCTCATTAACACTGGTTGTCTGCCTCCTCATTGGGTGTCCACAGTTTTACAATGACCTGACCCCGCTGCTAGTGCGTCTGCAGACCAAGATAAACGATTTCTGCTTCGCCCGTAAGACTGAAAAGGAGGACCTTTTGGTTGAGCTGCAGAAATCCATCGCAAACTCCCCCTCCCAGGCACCTCCCGTGCCCCCAAGATACCAAGGAGCTGCTGGACAGGCATCCAACCAGTGTGAGTATCAAGAGTGCTGTCATTTAGGGCAGATATGATCTGTTTCAATATATTTATGTAGTTGTTGATTGTGCTGCTGTTGTGTTGTAGCATGTTTAGTATTAATTTATTGTGTTGCTGTTGTAACATTTGAGTATTATTTTTGGTTGTTTGCTGTATTTAACTAGTTAATTGCTAAGTCCATGACTTCCTGAGTTGGCGTTATAATTTCATGGATACTTTGTCAAGTCAAGCAACAAGCTGTTCTGTTTTGGAAAGCACTTCTATAGAATGTACAGGAAGAACAGCTAGAAGACATACAAGATGAAGGTGTGAGAACATCTGTTTGTACATTCAGGGTACTGTTATGAGAAGTATAGAAAACATACATGGCCGTTGGACTAAGCTTTAGATATTTGCTGGCATTTGCACTCTGTGTGCAGAGTGGCTTACAAGTACTTGCGCATGAGCAGAACTTGTACTTGAGCAGAACGTTAATGGAGAGTACAGCAGAGGCTGACCACAGAAAATGTGGCTATGGGACATTAAAGATGCATTGACAGTGAAAGCACACAGGGCTGGAAATATTGGCTAGTGAAAGAGAGGCTGTGAGACATGCTGATTGATTGATTGATCTTGAGAAAAGGACATTGTGGTGTTTCTGGGGCAGTGGATCACACATTCCGGCTTCTCTAGTGAGGAGGAACACAGACCTAATAAGGGTACCAGGTTGTGTTCTGGCAAGTAAAGACATCTGAAATATCTGTGACCACATCACCCATCAAGTATTAATGAGTCCATTCAGTGTTAGGCTAACATCATATGGATGCTGGGACCCCATTGTGAGGAGAAACAAGGATAGACCCACTACCACCCCAGCGAGCATCGCAAGATTGAACTAATTGGAAGCTTCCTTCAAAGTCAAAGTGAATCTGTTTGAGAGGCAAGAAAACAATAGTATTCCTACAAATAAGTCAGATCTGTAAAATAGACACTAAACTCAAGTTTATATGAATAAGACCTAAGTCCAGAGTTAGACGAACAACCAGAAATGTCCACCAGTTTGCAAGCAGTGAAGATGATCTGCCTGGTATACCTCACTGTGTGAGAATTGTTTCTTTACTTGAGTGTTAATGAAAGATTGTAGGAAGCACAAGACACATGACACCTTGGCTGGGACACTTACAGCCACAGAATATTCAGTGAAACATGGCACACTGGTTTGTGCACATTTAGGATATCCAACAACAACAAAGATTGGTGTGGATGGAGAACAGTTAACTACACATAATAAGAGGATAGTTGCACAGGTAGAATTCGTTACACAGGTAGAATATGTTACAGTGGTAGAATATATTACACAGGTAGGGTATGTTACACAGGTACAGTATGTTACACAGGTAGGGTATGTTACACCCTAGCACCAAGCACACATGGCCTGCACTGTTTGGGGTAGAAAGAGTTAACAGATGATGCACACATATAGTAAGTAATTGATCAAACACAAGATAATACACGCTGAATATTCTCACTGATAACGTTCTGTACTGTTGTCAATATAACATGCATGCATGCATTTGCACACAACTGTGAGTTGCACGGCCACCGCTTCTATTCACATGCAAGTCATAGACCCCTGCCTGTGGATTCTCTTTGGATGTTTAATTTCAGCTGAACATATAACACCAGGTATACCTGCATCTCTTTATTGTCACATCTGGGGAATCAATTACATTCATGTTCTCATCTCTTCCTCCTTGATTTTCTGTGTTACTGTCCAGAATCCTCATCAATATCTCATCATGTGCTGTTCTTTGTGTTACTGTCCAGAATCCTCATCAGTATCTCATCATGATGTGCTGTTCTGCATCAGGATTGAACATTACAACCATTTGTTTCTGCATTTCTTTCAGTAATGTTTGTTGTTGGCCTTTTCCTTTTTCCAACTGTGTCTTCTATCCCCCAGAAACTCTGTTAATTTCTTGTTTGTTCCATGCCTTGTTGTCAGGTAATGGCTTTAATCTCTCTGTATAATGTAGCCCCGTTTTGTTCTAGTGCTGTTGGTCAGTTCATATTTTCAGATGTTACATAGCAGGCCAAACTCTCATGTATCTGCTCTCTTTCTCCCTATGTAGCCCCGTTTTGTTCTAGTGCTGTTGGTCAGTTCATATTTTCAGATGTTACATAGCAAGCCAAACTCTCATGTATCTGCTCTCTTTTTCCCTATGTAGCCCCGTTTTGTTCTAGTACTGTTGGGCAGTTCATATTTTCAGATGTTACATAGCAGGCCAAACTCTCATGTATCTGCTCTCTTTCTCCCTGTCCTCTTTCTTTCTTCCATTTTGCTTGTCCATTGTTTCTTGTCTGTTAACATTACCAGACGACCTGTACATCTCTTTCTGATGTCTGAGGTGAGGATTTGTTCTGCCTGGACTTTCACTGGAACAATGTTTGTTATTATTTTTACTTGACTGTGAAATTGTTCATTTTCTCTGAAAACCTCATGGCTTCCACTGATGTTCATGTTTGTGGGGTATCTAATGCAAGGAAGGTAAATATGTGACTTCAGTCTGTCACTGGCCTTCTGTGGAGGTAGCAGGTTTTTCACTCTTGTATGCCTCGTTTCCAGTGTTTATATCGTCTAGTTAATGGTGTTCTCCAAACTCTGCTACTTGTCTTCACTTCTATAAGTGCTCATCAGTGCTTCTACAGATTTTCACTTCTATAAGTCCTCGTCAGTGCTGCTACTTTTCTTTGCTTCTGTAAGTGTTTATAAGTGCCTGTGAGTGTAATGACCACCTGCCTAGACTCTTTAACTGTTCTCATGTCTAGTAATCCAAACAGGTGGTAGCCTCTTGTTGACAAATTCTGTCCTGACATCACTAAGAAAGGAGCAGATTGTGAAGAAAGGAACTACTTACCAGGTCTCATAATTCTGTAGACTAATGTTGTAATATTTCACGCTCTTGCAGCAGCATCTGCTTTAAGATTATGTTTACTGTTAAACTGCTATCATTTTATTTTGTTCATTTATTTATTTGTTATTGTCAAATTTCATTTCTTTTCTCCCTACCATGAATGTATAAATGCCCCCATCTCACATAAAACCACCCAAAACACCCTCTTCTGGCCTACAATGACACCCTGCTGCACTGGTATACAGCTGCTGCTGCTGACACCACTGCATCCAGCACTCCCCCCAGGCCAGCACCCAGAGCCCCGCCCCGGCCTCCACCACCTGCAATCCCCACTGCAGCACCCACCTCGACAGCAGCCACCTCATCAGCAGCTGGAGTCACAGCAGCAACATCATCAGATGGTAATACAGGTTTCTTGATATTATGGTTCAGTTAGTTCTACTGAGTCTGTTATTTATTAGGGGAGCCAACATGGTGTAGCAGCTAGATTCTCGCCTGCAGATCTGAAGGTCATGGGTTCGAGTTCCAGCAGAATCATACCCTTTTTTTTTAATGATCTTGTCTGCCAGGTCGACCCAACCTTAAATGAGTACCAGGCAATGTGCTGGGAAGTAAAGGTGGCCGGTGTGATGTTGACCACATCACTCTCCAAGTGCTGAGTGGTCTCTACAATATAGGGCTAGCCCTGAGTGCCCAGTACACCTGAAGGCATGGCAATTGGTGCTTTTACTGTGCTATATGTGTCCTCACTCTTGTGTACAGCTTCATGCTTTCAGTGTTAGTTTCCTGTACCCAGCATGCTGTGTTGCTCATACCCAAGTTGTTGTTTGTCCCAGATATCACTTTTTTGGCACTTGTCACATTGTGATGCCTTTGAGATTTTTTAATTTTGTGTGTGTTCTGTGTTATGATTGTTTCCTTCCACTAGTCATTGTGGTCCCCCCCTTCCCTTTTCCCACCTTAGTTGAGCATTAAGATGAAACATTTACATAGCATTGCTGTGTGTGAACTATTTGTATGTGTTATTTGCAGTGTTCTTATGTGTTTATCTGGAGTGATGGGCAGTTATTTATAGTGTCAAGTCAATGGATGATGATATCAGTAGGCAACTTTTGTGGTCCAGAGGTTAGACTCTGGCCTGCCAGCCTCAAGGGCTAGGGTTTGAAGTCTCACCTTGGCAGATTTCCTCCCAAATTGACCTGAACTCTCAGTTCGGCCAAACCTTAAATGGGTAGTATCCTGGTAAGTAAAGGCAGCTGCTGCAACCCTAGAGCTGTACTGGTGGCAAAGCCCGGCTCTCTAGCGTAGTTGGCTAAACCTGATTGCGTGGAGACCGGGTGACGAACTCCTTGTGGTCCGGGTTCAATCCTGGGGGTAGGCAGGAAAGCCACATTTTCTCCCAGATTTACGGTATTTACAATGGAATAAAGGCCGAAAGGTTGCGATATCCATAATACAGAGTATAAGGGTTAACAACTCATGGCTTCTGGATACTAAAACAAACAAACAAACAAACTGGTGGCAAACCATAGTCCTGTCTCTGCTGGGGGGGGGGGGGGGGGGGGGGGGGGGGGGGGGGGGGGGGGGGGGGGGGGGGGGGGGGGGGGGCAAGTGCTCCTAGGGCTGTACTGGGGGTAAAACATAGTCTTGTCTCTGCTGGGGGATTGAACCTAGACCATGTCTTCAGAGGCCAGTGCTCCTAGAGCTGTACTGGTGGCAAAACATAGTCCTGTCTCTGCTGGGGGGGGGGGGGGGGGCAGTGCTCCTAGAGCTGTACTGGTGGCAAAAAACATAGTCCTGTCTCTGCTGGGGGGGGGGGGGGGCAGTGCTCCTAGAGCTGTACTGGTGGCAAAACATAGTCCTGTCTCTGCTGGGGGGGGGGGGCAGTGCTTCTAGAGCTGTACTGGTGGCAAACTATAGTCCTGTCTCTTCTGGGGGGGGGGGGGGGCAGTGCTCCTAGAGCTGTACTGGTGGCAAACCATAGTCCTGTCTCTTCTGGGGGGGGGGGGGCAGTGCTCCTAGAGCTGTACTGGTGGCAAACCATAGTCCTGTCTCTCTCTTGGGGGGGGGGGGCAGTGCAGTGCTGTACTAGTGGCACAAGCTAGTACTGGGGGCAAAAAACATAGTCCTGTCTCTGCTGGGGGGGGGGTGGGGGCAGTGCTCCTAGAGCTGTACTGGTGGCAAACCATAGTCCTGTCTCTCTGCTGGGGGGGGGGGGGCAGTGCTCCTAGAGCTGTACTGGTGGCAAACCATAGTCCTGTCTCTTCTGGGGGGGGGGGCTGCAGTGCTCCTAGAGCTGTACTGGTGGGCAACCATAGTCCTGTCTCTTCTGGGGGGGGGGGGGGGCAGTTGCTTCTAGACCTGTACTGGTGGCAAACCATAGTCCCTGTCTCTGCTGGGGGGGGGGGGGGGGGCAGTGCTCCTAGAGCTGTACTGGTGGCAAAACATAGTCCTGTCTCTGCTGTGGGTGATTGAACCTAGACCATGTCTTCAGAGGCCAGTGCTCCTAGAGCTGTACTGGTGGCAAAACATAGTCCTGTCTCTGCTGGGGATTGAACCTAGACCATGTCTTCAGAGGCCAGTGCTCCTAGAGCTGTACTGGTGGCAAAACATAGTCCTGTCTCTGCTGGGGATTGAACCTAGACCATGTCTTCAGAGGCCAGTGCTCCTAGAGCTGTACTGGTGGCAAAACATAGTCCGTGTCTCTGCTGGGGGGGGGGGGGACGTGCTCCTAGAGCTGTACTGGTGGCCAAAACCATAGTCCTGTCTCTGCTGGGGGGGGGGGGCAGTGCTCCTAGGAGCTTGTACTGGTGGCAAAAACATAGTCCTGTCTCTGCTGGGGGGGGGGGGGGCAGTGCTCCTAGAGCTGTACTGGTGGCAAACATAGTCCTGTCCTCTGCTGGGGGGGGGGGGGGGGGGGGGGGCAGTGCTCCTAGAGCTGTACTGGTGGCAAAAAGTCCTGTCTCTTGCTGGGGGGGGGGGGGGCAGTGCTCCTAGAGCTGTACTGGTGGCAAAACATAGTCCTGTCTCTGCTGGGGGGGGGGGGCAGTGCTCCTAGAGCTGTACTGGTGGCAAACCATAGTCCTGTCTCTGCTGGGGGGGGGGGGGGGGCAGTGCTCCTAGAGCTGTACTGGTGGCAAACCATAAGTCCTGTCTCTGCTGGGGGGGGGGGGGGGGCAGTGCTCCTAGAGCTGTACTGGTGGCAAAACATAGTCCTCTCTCTGCTGGGGAGTTGAACCTAGATCATTTCTTTAGAGGCCATTGCTCTAATCATGCTTGTTCACTGCAACCCTAGAGCTATACTGGTGGCAAAACTGAAGGTACCATAATCCGCAAGATCAAGATGATCCCTTGTATAAACCATACCTTTATTGTGGGGGCAGAAATTTCGAAGAAAAATAAATATAACAAAGTTATTGAACTCACGTTTCATGCATCGTAGAATCCATAATACTCCTCATCACATTCAAAGCAGTCATCGATATGAGAGTTCTTTACCTTGTCCTCGTCTGTGTCTGATGACGAATCACTGTCTTCATATATCGCCTCATCCTCAGTTCCAGCTGTGACGTTTGAAATGTCACACTTCTTCACATTATCCAAGGATGTTTCACCCAGGTACAAACTCCTCCTGTAGTTGGTTTGTCCACACTATCTGCCTGTGTCAGTTTGTCCACAGAAGGCTTCCTCCATTTGTTCCATTCATCTCTCATGGCAGCTTATTTCTGTCGCTCCTGAATCAGCATGAGACCCTGTACGGTATATTTTCTAACAAATCATTTGGTAAGAATCTACTACTGTTGTATAAGACACATACTGTTTTTAGACCCGACCTTTTTGGGAAAATAATTCCATTTTATACTAGAAAAAAACAGTTATTTGTTGTCTGTTTTGCTGAATCAGCAATTTTTTGTCATTTATATTAAATCTATTCTTGTATTAAGTGAATCTTCTTCTTCTGCCTTTCTATCCCCCAATGGAGCATAGGCCCTCAACCAACTCACACCAAGTTGTTCTATACTTCGCCATTGCATGGAGCTCTCCCCATGTCCTTCCCATCTTTCAAACTTCATTTTCCAGCTCTCTTCTCCGTGTGTTTTTTGGCCTTCCTTTATTCCTATCCCCCTGTGGGTTCCAATGCAAAGACATTCTAGTTATGCTGTTCTCTTGTTTTCTCAGTGTGTGTCCTATCCAACGCCAGCATCTTTTCTTCACCTCTTGGTCCACTTGAGCCTGTTTAGTTCTCTCCCAAGGTTCTACATTAGTTATTCTATCATACCATTTAATTCCCTCTATTCTGCGCAGGCACCAGTTAATGAATGTCTGTAATTTATTTGTAATTGCCTTGGTTGTTCTTCATGTTTCCGCCCCATACAATAGTACTGATTTGACATTTTCATTAAGTGAATCAGCAAAATAAAAACAGTTCACTTTTCTGGACTCTAAAAAACATTTATATGAAACCATTTTATGGCATATCTGACAACCTCCAAAGAAGTTATTCTCCTTAGTGTTTACTGGGTGTAAACTGCTGGAAAGTTCTGGTTGTTCAACCACTTCTGGACTTTGATCTTGTTCTAGAACTTGAGTTTTGCCTGCTCATCTGTTTTACAGGTAGGCCTTACTTGTGTGCAGACTGTTTGTAATGACCCTGCTTTGCATGGTCCCTCACCGATTACAAGTGGGCAAGCAGAAAGTCCGTGCAAACAAGGGACAGCACGAGAAAGCACGATACTTGTGCCATAGTCGAGGAATCGAGGGAAAGCCGAGCTAGCCTCGTGGTCAGTCGATCATCAGAAGTCTCAGAGAAGACGGTTGTAGTATTTTGAAGATGTTCGTCTTTATGTTGCGCAAATCGTTTAATGTTCGAATATTGTCGCGAGTGATAAAAGTGTGAATAATGTTTGAACATGTGAAATAAATGGACCAGAATCAAACTGATAGAATGTACTGCAAGAAGCTGAGCGGCGTTTGTGTTGTCAACTCTAGACGTTAAAGTAGTGCAGTTGTGTAGCAGTAAATACCAGAGAGTGATCCGTGCCTAAAGCCAATAAGTAGTAAAGCCAAAGCGCAGTCCAAGTCTCAAGCCAAGGTTTATTACAAGTGGGTGCTTGTCCGAAGGACAATTAGAAACCACGAGGACCAAAGAATAGGAAAAAATTTTTGTTTCTTCAAAGGTATGATAAACCATGCGCGAAAAACAGCGTAACTTCACCCGAGCATAGCCTAATAATTAAACACAGCAAGCAGCCGACAGGTCAGCTACCGACCAATGAAAACCGGTGTGTCATCTACGCCCTGCCAACACCGATCGGCCAAGTTTGCGGATTCGGGAGGCAGTTTCATGTTTTTACCAAAGGTACATATCGTAAATATTATAAATCAAGTTTGTGAATTTAAAAAAATTTGTGGGAAATTTTGGTTTGCGGAAACCAGCAAACTTTTAACACGTTTTTAACAAAAATTTCGTTAAAGCTTTATAAACCCAGGACATTTTAAAAACAATGTGCGTTTATCAGAAGGAACTAAACGGTGGGGAAAAATAAGAAAACCCTTTTTTTGCAAGTGCTGCGCGACAACAAAGAAGATCTCGATAAGTAAAACCGAAGATCAAGATGGCATTTTTTTTAAGACCAGCATAGTTCTTCCCTACTGCGCAGAATCCTAAATTTAAATTATATTGAAGACTGAAATAAAAATGGAAAAAAAACAAAACAACAACCTAAAAAATGCCATTTTTTCAGATTCGGACTATTGAAAAAACTGTGTTGGGGGAAAAAGATGTTTTAAAAAAACAAAAAAAGATCGTTTTGCAAAAAATAAGCAAAAAAGAATGGATTCAGAAACTCTTACGTTACCTACTCAAGATTGGGCAGATGCGACT